TTCTCTGCGGCACGGCCAGGGGGGGTGGCGGGAAAAAAAGTATAAAATAAAAAAAAAAAAAAAAAAAAAAACACCACACAACAAAGCAGCTTAAAAAGGGTGACCGGGACGGCAGGCGGGCACCCGCCCCGTGAGGGCGGGCTGTGGCGGCGGCGCTCGGCATGGCGGTCGCTGTAGTGACCGGGCCGGGAGCCGTTCCTAGCGGCGGGCGCAAGAGGGAGCGCGCCCGAACTACCGCTCCCAGGGCCCGCTGCCGCTTTCTTCCCCTCCGCCCCCAAGGTTTCCGCCGGGGCCATGGTGGGTCGGCGGCGAAAGGGTAGTGGGGGCTCCTGACCCGAGGCACCGGCCGCGGAGCCGCGCTCAGGGCGGGAGGCTGCCCTGACTCTGCCCCCCGAGGGGCTCCCCCGGGGCTGAGCGGCAGAAACGTTCCGTTCAGCTCGGCTGCCTCCGCCGTGCTTCCCTCGGGGCGCCTGGGAGCCCTGCCCCGGCATGCTGCCCGCCTGCCTGGTGCGGGCCGCCCCGGGGAGGTGGCTGCTCGCTCCCCCGGGCTGGGCGCTGCTGGGGACGGGGACTGGGCCGGGGCTCTGCCTGAAATGGCGGCGCCAGCCCCCCGGCAGGGAGCTCGCCCTGCTGCTGCGGGCCGCCCGGCGGAGTATCGGGACGCGAGCCGGGGGGCTGAGAGCTGAAAAACCGGGCGATAGTAGCGATAAGCACGTGTCCGTGCAAAGGGGCCGGAGAGAAGAAACTCTGCTGTCGGCTGCTCAGAAAGGTAAGACGGGCTGCAGTCACTGGGGAGCGGGAATGCTCTGCGCTGCTCGAAGAGGCTGGCGCAGCTGAGGTTTTTATAGCCCCCAAACTCTGGAATTGGGGGAAAAAAAAAAAAAAAGCTCAGAAAAGCAGCCCGTTTCTTTTCACGTCGTACTGTTTGCAGCAGTTGATACCTTTCAGCGTACGTATTGCACAAGCAGAACAGAAACTGTGGCTTCTTCCCAACAGCTTATTGATTCAGTGTTTAAGTCCCAGCAGGGACAAGAGCTAGTAGCCTCTCATTTTCCTTTTCCAAAGGAAAACCTATCACGCACAACCTGTCTCTGCTGCCAAAACAAGTTTACCTCCAGCAAAATTGTCGAAAGCTCCACGTGCGATGCTAGCTTCTTTATAGGATGGCCGTCACTCTGGCTGATCTCATTCACTTCAGTGAGAAGTGGTTACCACATAATTAGTCTCAGAAATTCTAAGTGCTCCGAAAATGTTTATGAAAAACACCCTCAACTGATTAGAAGACTGCAGGAAAAATTGTTAGTAAAGTTGCCTCCGTAACTTGTACTTCACTGAAAGGAACACCTTATCACTTGAACAGATCAGTAGTCTCTTGCCAAGTTCTCAAAAAATACTTTGTAGCAGCGAATCCCATATGACTTTTCGGGGAGTGTATACTGACCCTTCTACTACTACATTAGATCAAAACTAACAGATAGGAACTAATCAGATAAACTGCAGTTAACGTTCTCAATAAATAAAATACATATTTTGGTTTAATATCCCTCCTTTTTATTGCTCTCTTGATTGAGAATTCATAAAAACAGTTATTTTTAGTCAGTGTGTGCAGTTTATAAGCTTACACTTTTTTTATTTTTACTCCTCCCTTTCTCTGCATAAGGATTGCAACGATTATGGGTTTACATGGTAGCTTTAATACTGCAGTGCTAAATACCTCATTAGTTCTTAAAAAAACTAGCTCTCATGTACACAAAAAGTAGCAATAAGTGCTAATCCTGAAAACATCTAGTAGGAAAACCAGAAAATAATAAGGCTTAATACAGAGATATAAACATGCCCTGTACAACCTAAGAGATGTTCCGTGGTCTCTTTCATTTAGCGATGAGGCATTATGGAAGCTGTTACTGGAATTTTTTCTTCTGCCAAAATGTTTTTTGAGCTGCAGACTAATAGAAGAGCATTTATATAAGAAAGCTATGCAAGTCTTACTGTCCAAGATTGTAACTCCTGCGTTGTTTTCTGTCTATTTCAGTGAAAGAAGCTGGAAGAGACTTTACCTATTTTATTGTGGTGCTTGTTGGAATTGGTGTCACAGGTTATTTTTAAAAATTATATTCTTCATCAGAAGACACTTTTCATGAATTCCATCTGGTTTGATCAGTTTTCATTCCATTTGCTGTTGTTTCTGTTACAGGTGGTTTGTTCTATGTGATTTTTAAAGAGCTATTCTCTTCTTCTAGTCCAAGTAAGATCTACGGAGATGCCTTGGAGAAATGCAGATCTCACCCTGAGGTTGGTTTTTCAACCTTAGTCATAAGTTTATGTTTCTCAGTGGTTACTCTCTCTCTTTGAGTCAAGTTTGCCCAAGGAATCTCACAAGCAAAGCTACAGGAAGACCCACGTGGTGCTTAGCAGGCAAACACCAGCAGATCTGCCTGTGCTTTTAGCTGGCCAGAGGCGGGTTGGCTCCAAATTGGAGTCCGTATTAGGACAAGCTAATGGCAGCACTGAGCCTGAGTGAATTAGCCTGCTAAAAGCCAAGTTAAGTGAATGTGCCACAGCACAACTTGTGTCCCCATACAGAAAGTCTTATAATAGACATACCTGAGTGCCTGCTAAATGTAGTACTTAAGGAGTTCTGCAGGTCAGGGAGGCAACTGGTCCTACTTAAGTTTTGTAGATCAAGCCTGTTGCCTTTCCTCAGCACAGTTATTCTGGTGTGACACTTCAGTAGGGTTCTGTCATTCTGCAAAACACCGCCTAAGTATCCAGAAATTTAAACTTCATTTGAAACACAGTTAGCATTCCCGTGGCTGACAGGAAAAGAGACATAGAACAGTCATGTGATCACAGAGTCACATTAAGATAGCTAGATGTAAACAAAAATAAATCTAAAACTAGATTCTAAAAACCACTACTTCAGACAAAACAAGAACTGCATGGAAACGCTTTCAAACAAGGTTGCCACAGATGCAACTGAGGATAACCTAGATACGAAGTGACAAGTTGTCACTAGAATAAAAATGAAGACTGCTTTGGAACAACTTTGCTGAATTAAAACTTCTCTCCAGTACTTAAACAGTAAAAATCACTCTCCCTTTCTAACCACCTTTAAAGTAAGTTTAAAACTAGGTTAATTTGGTCTGGCTTTATATATCTGAAAAAAAAAAAAAGAAATACTTAATTTCTTAAAGAGTAGTGGTTTTTAGATGATATGAAGGGCAGCGCATTTGCATTTTAAACTTTGAAACATTGTCTTGGAGGAGACATGAGCAAATAGGCTTTTTTTCCTTTTACACAAAGTGTCAGTAAAATATAAAATACACAGAAGAGAGATTAAAATGTCATAATCTCAGAGGACAGTACAAATGAAAGATATTAGTAGGATTTATTTTAGACGTTTAATATGTGACTGTAAAGAAAAGCACTGAAATACAGAGGAATTTTCCTTACGCTGTTTTCTTTCATAAACTCTGTTCCTGACACATGAGACTCAAAAGGGCCATTTTGTTGAGAGAAAATGCATTCACAGCAGGGGCGTGAGCTGATACTGGAGTATCTGTTTGAATGTGATACCTTCTGACAACTCGAACCTCTTTTCTCTTGTAGATAATTGGTGTTTTTGGTGAATCTATTAAAGGTTATGGGGAGGCAACAAGAAGAGGAAGACGACAGCTTGTCAGGTGCCCTTTGGTGTTTGCCACGTACAGACGCTAGTTTTTGCACAGCAAAGACGCATTGGGTCATATTATAGCAAGTTAGATCTAGATTAATGAACTGTATGTGACGTGCCCTGTCACTTTTGAGTGAAAATGAAAGCAGTTTTTTGCAGTACCTCTTGTGTGGCCCATACCACTAAATACAGTGCACTTACAATATAAAATGCCAATTCTGAGTGCCTCAATACGAGCAATGGTCAGCACGGTAGAGCTGGTGTCTCCAAAAAACAGGGCGAGTCTGAAGAGAGTAGCACAGAGACCTAGGCATGTCTCTGGGGAGCAGGGATCTGACTGAAGTTTACAGTCAGAAACCCTCAAATAGAGTGAAACTGTTCTTTGAAAAATTGTTCTTTGAGAGTTTTTCCCCTTTTGAAGCAGTAGTTTTTATCGGGCCATAAAGAGCAGGAGGTACTAACTTTCAGACTTTCAAGAATCCAGCTTGTTCTGTTTAAAGCTAGGCTGGGTCTGACTGTACAGGTTGTAGTCATTGCAGTGACTATATTGTCCTGAGCTGATACGCAGTATTGACTGCCTATTTCTTATATTGCTTTTTGGTACTTGAGGCCACATCTCTACTGTGTATTTAACAGAACCTCTCTCACCTAAACATTTCATGAGTGTGTCTATTTATTATTCTCCTTTTGAGGGAAACAACAGAACTAATTCTTACAAAATGTAAATCCTTCCTGCAGTATAATCCAACAGGAGCTTTGTCTTTATTGGGTTCTTTGACTTGAATTTATTCAAGGAGGTTTCATACAGAATGGGACACATAAGCCCAGATACACAACTTGAACCATGAAATGGAGAAATTTTTTTTCTGGAGGAAGGTGATTTTTACTGGTGGAAGTTTATCTTTTCACCAGACTCTGTGAAGAAGTGTTTAAAGTGGAGCTGCTAAATGAAAAGGATATGCACAAATGTTTTAAGCATCTGTCTGTAAAACAAACTATATAAATAAGTAAATGTACTGTCAGCTTTCCTAGTATTTACTTTCCATCATTTTGGAAGTGTAGTATTTTAAATAAATTTTTGAGCTAAGGACTTGGCAAGGTTGTAGAATTTGTGTCTGCAGTATAAGGATGACCTTAAATGTCTCAAAAATGTACAGATTTTTTTTGTGTATGAACACCTCGAATATGAATTTACTGCAGTAAGCCTCTTCATTCATCTTTGTTCTTTGTAACCCATCGTGTCACCTTGAAGTGTATTGGAAGTTTAATTCACGGTGTGTATCTAGGCGTGACTGATGGAAATAAGAGCTTGGTAGTATGCAGCAGTTATTAATTTCAGTAGGAAACATAAACTAGCACCAGAACTCTAGTTTGACCATTAGTTTCTGGAAGGGGTTACCCTGAAAGTGACGTGACCTTTCTATTTATCTAATACTTGAGCATAACCTAACTCCAGTCTAAATATCAGCATTTAGGTTGGAGATCTGATATCGAAGCCAAAGTTACACAACTTCAGTAGAACAAAATTATTGCCAAAATAAGTAAAGCATATAGTAAACTCTTTGTTTTATGTGATTTAACCAATCTGTAAGTTCACAAAACATGCTTTGTGTGGTTTGGCTTGGTAACTTAAAGCGTCTAAAAAAATCCACTTAGTGATGTGGGTGTTCCTTTCTAGATGCCAGGCTCTGAATCTGGGGGGTTTTTTTAGAATAAATACAAGGAAATTCCAGAATCTTCAGCCATTGGATTGCTGTTGAGTTTTGAGGGGAGGACTGGGGTGAGGATGTTTAAGCACTTTGTCTGTTAATCCTCAACTGCTCCGCTAGTCATTATATGCTTACAGTAGAGCTTGGTAAGAGCAGTAGAGAAGGAACCCCTGGTAGCGTAAGGACTGCATTGGAATACACTTTCTCACAAAATAGTTAAGCAGCTCCTCTAAATAAAAAGTTTAAATTTGAAGTTTAACTAGCATATAATATGTATTTTTGCTGGGTGGGTTGGGTTTTTGTTTTGACTTGTTTTTAGTCATGTTGAATACGTAAAGGATGGACTGAAACATATGCGTTTGAAGTTCTATATTGAGGGCTCTGAACCAGGGAAGCGGGGAACAGTCCACGTAGAAGTCAAAGAGGTATGTACAATTGCTTGATATAACTGACAAGCTTAATCTTGAATTTAAACTACCAAGGAGAAACAAACAGCCTGAAATTGTTTTCCTTGCAGAATCCTGAGAGAGGAAGATTTGAGGTCCGCTACATATTTGTGGACGTTGACACCTATCCTAGAAGAACCATTGTCATAGAAGACAACAGATAGCCCATGATGAAAGTTGCTGTCCCATCTCATTGAGTATTGGATGATACTGGTGTAGCCAGTCTACACGTGAATTGTTTGGTGTTCTCGATTGTATCTTGCAACTTTGGGGTTGTGTTACAGGAAGTAGCCTCTCAGGGCCTCCATTAAGGTCTTTCATAATAACAGATACAGGATTCGAAGTGAAGCCAATGAAATATAGTAGAGCCATCACTTATGGCAAATATTTTTGACACGGGAAGATAATGGCTTATAATAAACAGTTTAATGCTGGATAATACTTCTGCACACCCAAAAGCTGAGTCTTCCAAGATTTTAGGTTTGGATGGGGAGTTCTTTGTCTTCCTTTGCTTGGATTTCCCACTAGCACTGCAATAAAGAAAGTGGTATTTTATGCGTAGACAAACTCACTGTTTTCATTCTGGATGCCTTTGTAGGTAAGAAGGTAAAATAAGAATGTATGTTAGTGGTGCAAAGGAGATCTAGCGCAAAGGCATGTAAGGATAGGAATTGTGGAGATGCACACCTGTGACAAATGACTGAAGATAAAGACTTCCGTTATTGGTGTCTTCTAAAGAAGTTAATGGCATACAGAACAGCGATACTGTCTGCTCCTTCCAATGTTTTCCATGCTGCTCTGCAGTGTTGTAGCTGCTCAGCACTGCCCACAATATTTCCATTAACTAATCTAAATCTTCTGGGAATCAGATTCCTATAGGTTTACCCAAACTCAAAAGCTCAACTCATGACCATATTTCTCACCTGGGTTTCTTCCTTAGTGCAGCATGGCAGATAGCAAGCGTAACCCTGTGTATTAATAATCAGACTTAGTCGTGCTGATCTGTCAAGCAGCACCAGCCAAAAAATTTCAAGCTTTAGCTTCTTACATTTAACCCCTTTCTTAAACACCAACTAATGCATTTTTCGGTAGTTACTATCATACATTATGAGCTTTTTAGTTCACTAGTGAATTATCCCTACGTTAAATATACACTGATGTTCGATTATCAGCCCTTATATGTTCATTTAATGGTACATTTGGACTGTTCTAAAGTTCATACGATATTCCCTCATACAATGCCACAAATATCATGTATAGACCTGTAGTAATACTTTACTGGACTTTAGCCATCCTGTTTATCTGTGTCCCAGTAATCTCATTTGCATAATCATAACTAAACATAATACTTTGTTAGACCTGGATAACTTTTTGCTTTATGTTAATCACTACAACCTTGACTTCAGTCAGATCGTCATATTGTGTGACAGTATTCAGTGGGGTCACGCGTTCATCCCAGTTCTGTGAGCAGAGCAGAGTAACCATCCATTATAGCGGAGCAGCCAGCAGTGTCCATCTGCATTAAACCGCAAAGCATTTTGGAGTTTCTACGCTGTATACAACATAACTGACTTCTACTGTGCAGGCCAAAGGGATTTTTACAAAACTTTGAACATCAGTTGAGATTGACCAAAGTGATTTCATATCCGTTAGTTTCAGCAGAGTTATAAATTTGTCTGCTGGCTTTCATCCCTTGATGGATGCTTGTCAAGACTAAAACCCACAATTTTACACATAGTCAAAAGCAATGGAAGTCTGTGTTGGTGGCTCCCTACTGTATGAGAAATGGTTGTGGTACTTGATATCATCACCATGAAGTAACTTTGATAAACTTTTATCTTTGCCTACAGTTACTGACATCATTAATGTCCATCTGGAAAGGTATTGTCTTTAAGTAATGAAAGCAATTGACTCCCATTGTTCTTCATGTTATTTTCCTGAAAGCAGGAGAGTCAATAACACCTTTTGACTTACTTACACTTATGACTCTTCCCAATTCTTAGCATTACACTTGCCAAAACTTCTGTTTCAGAAGAAATTTTCAAACCAACATAATTGATTATAACCCAGTAAAAAAAAAAAAAGTATCTGAGGCCCTCATTGTTTCATTGCAACCTGCTGCAGTACTGACTGATAGCATTACATGCCACGTTTACCTGCCACCACCTACGTCCATTTGCTATAGGCATGTGTCATACCGTGGTGGTTACTGAAAACCATCTCTGCAAGAGTTTTGTCATGAATGCAAGATGGAGCCTGTTGTCAGAGCACATCAGAAATACTGCAAGCTATGTAAGTTTATAATCATACTAAGATTCCTAGCCTTAAGCCCATGCTGTACCTTGGTAAAAATGTAATTGTTCTTTACCTTTTACAAAGGAAGACTACATAAAAATACACAGTTTAAACTAGAAAATGTAATACTATTTTCGCCCTTCCTTTATGACTTTTTACCATATCAGGCTGCCTGAAAGCCATTGTAAACCTTCATGTCAACAACAGAACAGACGGGCTAGTTTTTTTCCTGTAACTCTGCATCCCAGCTTTGCTTTCTTATTAATCCAGCTGTGGCTTGTTTTCAGTGGGCTTCACTGCTCGAGAAAGTATTTCCTAAAGCAAGATGTAAGAAACATTTTTCTACAGTAAACGGTATAGGTACAGGAAAGAGGCCAGCCGTTAGGTTTACTTTTGTCTTGTTTTAGAGCCTTTTTTGCACTGAAGAAACAAACTGTCAGGACTAGAAAATTTCTGGGAAGGAAAAGATGATGACCTCACATAATGATGTTTTTCCAACAGTGCAGGTACGTGAAATTCTATGTCGGGGTTGTGGTAAAACAGGAAGAATTGGCCATTGGGGTTTATGTGTATGTTTGGCTTCAGCTTGAGAAGACGAACTAAGAATTTGATTATTTGCAACCAGATTTATTTACAGTTTTTTTCAGTAGCAAGGACTTCCTAACATACACAGAAATATAATGTATTTCAAGGGTTGCGTGAAAGAACTGTCTTATTTGGAAATCAGATCCCTGGTTGGTTGGTCCCTTTGAGACATCAGAACTTTTTAAAGTTGTCTGTAAATCTGTCAGTACCATACATTGTTCTTGCACTAAGTGCCCTTGTCATACTTTGGCATTTGTGTCAGGCCTTACTATCATGCTCCCTAGCTGGGAAAAAATGCTACAACTGCAGGTGTCAGAAGAAGTCTTAGCAAAGTCAACATAATGATTCTGTCTGGCCCTTTGGCAGCCAGTCCAGACCGGTATGAGAAAAATGGAGACAGACCAAAACTGGCAATAAGGAAGAGGCACAAGTATCGTTTAAAAGACACAGATGGATGTGGAGTTGTCCACAGTGCAACTGACCTTCATGATTTCTCCATGATGCTATCACTGTCTAAAAGCAAAGTACAAACCTCTGGTTTATTAATTGCATTTCAAGAAACTGAAGAATCCAGAGAAACAAGTTGGGATTACTTTCAAGCTTATTTTTTGTTAGGGTAGACCCACTATGAGAGGGTTATAAATAAAATGTTTCTCATCCTGTACTTACATGGAGTTGTCGTTTTCACCACTCATCTTTCTCCTGTGGAGTTCCAAGAAAGAGGTGGGTGAGCACACTTGCTCAAAGCAGCAGGATCCACAGCCGCAGTGGCACCCTCCATATACTTCTTAACAAAGAAAACATCTCTCAGGCTGGAAAGAAGCTGCAGAGGAGGAGTACATCATATATAAATCATCTTTGTATATCATACTGCTTCGTAAATGCCAGAATACTAGCGAGGTAGGATAATATTTTGCTTTGAAAGAGTGGAAAAGTAAAACTGCCATTATAATGTAATGGAACTGCTAGTTGCCCTTTCCTAACTACAGCTTAACCGACTTTTATTTTGTTGGAGTCCAAGGAACATAGCAGGTCAGTCAGTGTCGCTCCTGGTGGGAAGGAGTACAGAGCCCTTTCAGGGTGCCTTCAGTCATCCTCTTTGCTGAAGTTGCATTACATACCCTATCATGTCAAAAAGTTATTTACTATCTAAAAGTTATTCACGGGCTAGGAGAGCTGTAATACTTGCAGCCCTATATCTGACAATCTCCTTTCCTCTTGGCCACCTCCCTCAACATCATCACCCCCCCAGAGAAAAGGGAGAAAGACCTCAGTATCTTTAATTAGCTTCTGACATTCACATATTTATCATCAGGGACATGGGCTGTGGCCCTGGATGGATTGTGTAACATAGGCGGTCTTTTTACCATGCAGTGCTAGTTAGTCTCCTGTTGGCAAAAGGCCACATAAATGGAGGGGATTTTTAGCTCTAGAAATGTTCTTCTGTAATTTCAGGAGAACATTTGGTATTTCCTTTAAAGCTGCCTTTTCTGTGGGATAACTAAAGTGCCCAGGAAGTAGTGTACTCCATCAGTATACTTGGTTTTCAAGCCCTGATACCAAAATGCTAGCTAAATGCAACAGTAAGAGAGATGGACGTACACATACAAAATGTTCATGAAGCCAAATGGTGGTGAGATCTTTGCTGGTGCCTCTTAAAGAAAACTATCTAGCCTTAAATATCGTTACCTTCAAAACATTCTGAAAAGCACAATATTCCGTTTAAACTTCTCTCCTTCCCATCTTGTCTATGTCTAGAAGTAATATTTATGAGGATGTGTCCTTGGTCCATAAAGTTTGCCTCATGATTTTTTTTACTGCCTGCATCGCCTCGCCAGCTAAACGGATACACGAGGATATTTTTCTTTCTATTTCTTGAATAGGGGGACACAACTCTAAAAGATATCACTTTTCCTGCTTTGTGAAAAAGCTGACAATATACTTGATAAAATGAAGGCAAAATAAAAAGTAGCAGACGAAATCCACCTTTACCTGGGCTTAAATATATTAGTGTTCTTAATGTGGAGAAATGACAAATACAAGGCTGAAATGCTTTCAGACCTCAGTAGAGAAAAGCTTTTGGGAATCCTTCTTCTAGTAAAATCTCTTCAGTGAAGAAAAAAAAAGGAACTTCATAGCTTGATTTATCATCCTCCTCCTAGCTAGATACCTATCACCAGCAAGATTATTTAAGCCCCGTGAGATTGCAAGGATATTAAAGTTTTATATGTATGTAGTTTGGCTGCAGAAAAATAAGTTAAATAGCTCTTGCTAACATAGAGGTCTTGTGGGAACTAGTTACTTCTTTCCATATTCCTTGTGAAGCTGAAGTTCTGTCGGTCCCTATGGACCAAGCTGGGATCCGTGTTTAAAAAATTATTTTCTCCCATCCTGTTTAAAGCAAGCAAATATATGGGGACACCTTCACCACAATTAGGTGAAGAAGATTAGTCCAGCAAGACATCTGTTACAGAGAACATTGATCTCTTCCACGGTACCACTTTACCTGGTGGTAGTTTTGCACTGGAGGAGAACAGCTGCATTCACTGAGTTTAAACATAATGTTTTAGAACACCTCTGTTGTAATTTTGAAGACTGTTAGCCTAGATTGTTCCTTAAGAAGCTGTCCCTGCTTCACTGGATCATTGTGCTACCAGTAAGCCGTGCTGAGCTCCTTCTGCGTGGCAAGCAGCTCAGAGTCTTCCATCCTCGCACGGGAGGATGCTTGGCTGGGGAGAAAGGAAAGTAACTGGAAGGTTCAGCTTCACTTTTCGGTAAACACAAGCAATAAACATTCCGTTGTTTCCTTTTTAAAGCTCTTTCCTCTTTTTCTCTGGGAAAGCACAAAATTACAGCATATGCCAGTTACTTTCTGATGTAAAACTGTCATGTTATTGTTACTAAAGCTGTGGAAAAAAATCACTGCCAGAAAATCAGAGCCAAAACAATGACATTTTCATGGAAATTAAACACATTTTCCAGAGTTGGGTTTTGATTGTTGCAGAATTAAGAAATACGTATATACTCAAATCCCTCTTCTTTAGGAAATGAAAATACGTCACTCACCAGTGAAATGCTGTTTTTCCAGAAACACTGTGTGACAGACTACTCAGAATGTATTTGAGGTAGGTGTGCAATTTTGTCTTAACTTTCCCATCTCTGCCTTCATTTTTGTGGATGTCAAAACTTGTGTATATAGTATAGGCAGCCAACATCCTTTGAGCTGGTTTGTGGGAATAATAATGTTACTTTGTCATCTACATGACCTCTATGAGTCTAGGACCTGTGTATACTTGCTGTATCATGACAAAAAGAAATATACCTTCAGGAAATTAATTTTGTGAAAACTTTAAAATATAAAAAAATGGCTACTCTTTTACTAAGGTCTAGTAAACAGAAGGTCTTGCAAAGAAAATGGAATTTTAGACTGGGAAGGAAAAAATGTTGTTGTGCGTGACTGAGTTTTAAAATGACCTTGATACATAAATAATTCCAGCATGGAAATCAAGTTTCAACATCCAATTTAGGCAATGGAGTCATGATCTTGGGAATGGTTGCATATAAATGCATGTCTGATGATACCAGAAAATTCAACAAACTCACTTAACAAGCAGAGAAGACAGGAACGTGAATAAGATAATTATTGTATCACATGCCAGCTGCAGAAATAAAAAGGCAAAGAAGATGTGCTGGGGGTTTTCAGAATTAATTTCAAGTCACTTTGTTCTCAGCTGCATCTCACTATCACAAGGGATGCCATCCATCCTAATACTTATGGAATTATTCCAATGTGTAAATTATCAGCAACCTAACCTGTTAAAGATTACATCAAAAAAAAACTTGGGGGCACATTTTGACTCAAAGTCCCCTTTTAGGATTCATTGCAGCCTGTAAGCTGATGGAAATACGGAAGGAAAGCACAAAGATTAAAAAAAAAATTTAAAAGATAAAAAGTTTCAAGGAGCAAGCTTAAAGATGACAGTAAGGGCTCATAAGTGGCCTCTGTGTATGGGGCTGTGAAGCCTGCTTGAAGATCTAGAATATAGTCGGCACTGGAAAAACAGAGAAAATTGAAAGCAAAAAGATCTCCCTGCCCTCTTTTTTTTGGGGGGGAATGGGAGGCTTAGTCCCTAGAGGGATGTTCACTTGCTCCAAACACAATAATAGAACTCCAAATTGTGCAAATTGCCCTGAGGCAGCTGGGAATGTATATCGTTATGATACACTGTACTAAGAATTATGAAAAAATTATTCCAATTTGTACTGTAAATAATTGAACAGCAGAAGTATGTGATAGTTTTTCTTAGTAAGTTCTCAGGGGTTTTTTGTTCTGTATGTGTTGTGTAAAATAATCTATAGGAATTCTAGAAGAATGTGAATTAATACCATCCTGTATTCAAATTTCATATATTTAAATTTTCTCAGTAATGATATATACTTGAAAATGTAGCAAAAATATTTTGCAAGTAAAAGGAAAAAAAAAGGGAAAAAAAAAAAAAAAGGCTTGTCTGGAAGTCTTGTGGTTGTCCTAGGAGGAATACATACAATTCCCTTCATCTCATATAGGTCATCAAGGAACATTTGTAACTTGAAAAATAAAAGAAATAAGCACAAGTACCTGTTTTAGTTTGGAAAGCCTCTGTTTGCCTCGCAGTGTTCAGTATCAAGCTACTGCATTTCATTTTAAATATCCACCTAAAAAATAATACCAGTTATGGAAAAAACGTGGTAAGCAAGCTTATAATTATCTACATAAAGGAGATGACACAATACGCCTAAGAGAAAATATCAAGGATTTTAAACTAATAGAAAATGCCAGGTTTAGTTCCCATATATGGCAAGTACAAATATTTACCCATCTCTATGGAAGTTTGCTGTATGTACTTCGGTACAGGCTTTTGCCCGAGGTGGTGGTGGAGGGGGGAGAGCAGGCGCACCCCTGTCCCTCTGTCTGGGGGGGGATGCCCTCACCTTCCGTGGCCCAGAGCCGGACCGCGGCAGGTTAAGCCTCGGCCAGCACCCAGACTCCCACCCGGCTGCTCCCCCCGCGGCGGGATGGGGGTGAAAATGGGGAACGGCAGGGACGAGAAATCTGGGGGTTTGGGATGAAGACGGGGAGATCGCTTGCCAATTACAGTTGCAGGCAAAACAGGCTTTAAAATTAACTCAATTTGTTGCCTGTTATTGGCATCGCCGCACGTGGGGGAGCACCCGGGGGCGCTGACGGCGATGGCGTCTCTACTTCCAGATCACGTACGCTTGTCTGCCTCCGCATCTTAAAACCTCCCGGTACTGTGCTGGGAAGCCTCTCCCGGATAATCATGTTTATCCGACCTCCATTTAATTACAATTCCCCTTTATCTGAATCACAATTATGTTCTCTAGCATGAGTTGCCTTCTTGTATTACTCCCCACAATTAACTCTATTAACCTTCATTTAGCCAAGCGCGTTTTCACTTTCTATACGAATGGGGTTGGTTTACAATTTCAATCCTAATTCTTTTTTTCCACTAGAAACATAACAGTCTCAGCCATAACAATATCTTATTACAGCTGTTTTACACACATACTAAATACGTGGCTACGTTCCCTGAGATCTGATTTGCTTCATTAGCGCTACAACATCCATAGAGGAGCTGGAAGCGAACTGCTATTTTGTATGCTGTCTGGGGCCATGCATTACCCTTCGTGTTTAATAACACGAAGCCAGATCCCAACGGCAGAGCGCAGATGTGCAGAATGCCACCAGTTGCTTTTTGGCGTGACACCTGGTGAGGTCCAGGCACCCTCTCCTCCTCCACGTGGCTGCAAAGCCACCGTATTCAGGTGTGTGACACTGGTGAGGATAAAAGTGGTGGAGAAAAATAGCTGAGACACCTCAAGATTTAAAACAGAAAGCAGCTTTCTATCAACTGTCTTGAGCATAAAAGCCTCATAATAAG